TTGTGTCTCCTCAGACACAAGCGGTGGCAAAAATTTTTTTAACATGGCACAAACAAAAAAGATTTGATCAATAAGACCTGAATTGCATAAAGTGGTTGGCACATAATCCAATATATGATAATTTTTAATGCGCTTAATAGCCCGTTCCACATGAATACTGTACTTGGCAATGCGACGTGTTTCAACAAGGTCCTCTTCCTCAAACTGTCCTTTTCCCTTTGACCAATCCTTGTTAAGTAGGCCACATTTTAAAGTAAAATCCCTATCAGAAATTGACCCACCCTCTAGAGTTGAGACAAAGGTAATTACACCCTCACCACTAATACCAATTAGGACTTTCAGTGTATTGTGGTTTTTATATGTGAAGAAGGTAAGCTGTTGAGCTTCTGAGTTTTTCGGCTGATCGATGAAAACTTCAGTAGCATCAATGATGCATCTCAAATTGGGGCAGAATTCCTTTACCGTAACAGGTAAGTTAGCTAGAGCTTGCTGTCTTGAAGGCAAGATATCCACTTCTTTCAAGGAGTGGTACAGGGCATTAATCCATGTAGTTCTCCTCGACATAGTTCTCCACATTGAGAACTAGGTCGCATAATTATATTTTGCCTAAGGTCCAGACAAGCCGTTTTAAATCAGTTTTTATTAATAGATGTCTTTTCAATAGTAATTAATACCTTTTCTTTTTCCTTATTCATTTTATTCATGTTATTCATGTTAATTGTAGCACGTCTGTTTGCACAATAATTCTCAATAAAGACCTTTATCATTATTATTAGTTATAATGCGAGACACATGTGACTGTGACAACTGAGAACGAAGTGAGAGGTCCTGTTCCAGCATCCCCACACGCAACTTGGTCAGCACCAACAAAAGCTCATATTCAGGGGCCAGTCTTCTTGAAGGTCCAGGTTTCAAGCCCCACAGTTCTGCATTGTTGCAACTTGTAGCACCAGATGAGCCCCAGTAAGTAAGATTGTTCATCCCATCTCCTAAAAACTCTAAAAGACAATCGAACTGCTCCTCACTGAAGTCCGTATAAAATTTAAATACCTTTTCATCTTGGCTCAAATTCTTCACAGAAAATATTTTGGCCTCCAAGGGAGATTCAGCAAATTTTCTCCGAAGAATTTCGCTCTCGAAGGACGACTCTAGTTCTTTGATACGTCCTCTTAAGAGTTTCTCCTCCGATTTCTCTGGTTTATGTTCACAAGTAAGACTTGAGGTGTCACCTTCGCATTCATTACTCACTGGTTCAACAACAATGGCTGCCTCTACAGGTTTCTCACTGGCAGGTTTTTTTGCGATCGGTTTTCGCTCTGTTGGCCTCTACAGGAGGCAGTGTGGCTGAGTGGTTAGAGTGTCGGACTCGTCATCCGCCGCTCCCGGGTTCGAGTCCCACCCTGACCTCTGGATTTGTTTCACGGTAGCCCGAGTTCAGATCCTTGGCCACGCTTGTAAATAGCCAACTGGTTTGCCTCCGGCCGGTTGGGGTTCTAATGATGTTCAATTTAGACCATTCGTTTCACTTGTTCGCAAGGACCACAATGGAGACTACTGGTTCACCAGTAATTGTGTAGTTCTATAAAAAGACTTTTTTTTTTTTTTCTTCCTTCCTTTTCCATGACAAAACAAAACTTAGTGGGCACTGATCCTTTCCTTGTAACCGTCCGGGTACTACCTGGAAGCTTAATAAAACATGACGATTCAAAATGTTCACCGCAAAGCCTTGAGTGTTCATTTACTGGAGTGTTCGTCCTCCGGATGTTCGCAATCCATTTGGATAGAAGTTCCTTGTTGCCTAAAGGCAGACGATGCCATGACGTACTCTTTTTATCCGAGGAATTATTGAAACCGTACGCATACACCATTGAGGCATGAGAAGAAGGCAAATTCACAAACGAGAAAGACTCGAACCATAAATATTCCTGACACAACAACGTCTCGTTCACCACCAAGCCTCGCTTGCATGTCTAAGTGGTAATTTGTTACGTCATCACGCATAAGTCCTATTAAGATCACCGACTAATATCAACTCTCTGCTCTCGGCGTCACACCTCTGAAAAAATGTCTCGCACTCGTTAAATAGGTCCATGACCGAGTTTCGAGGCCTGTACCAAGTGCATACAAGAAAAGACTCGCTATGTGGACGGTTGATTTCAGCGCAGACCATCTCGAGGCTGCCAGGCACCACGTCTTCCCTATCGGAAAATGGTATATTACCCTGAATATACAATACGACACCGCCTGCAACTCTATTCCGATCCTTTCTAAAAAGATTATAGCTTGGAATACTTATCTCATTATCGGGTATTAATTCATCAATTTTAGACTCATTTATAGCGAGAATATCAAAAGTGCGCTAAGTAAGACATACCTAATTTCATCGATATGTTTAAGTAGACTATTTAACAATTATTCCACAAGCGCGCGTTGGATATGAGATGATAGATAGCCAACGAGGCGCGTAGCGCCGAGTTGGCTATAATCATC